GTGTCCTCTAAAACAGCCAATATCCATATCAATTTCATGATAGAATCCGAATTGAATGTTGATGTCGTCTGCCTCGTGCTACTCGAGATCAGCGGCGAGGACGAGGACACATGACTGTGCGCCGATAATATCAATTGGGAATGTCAGTTAATCCGTCCTAAGCCACTACATCTGAAGAAGCCGTAAATTTCTCTCTTTTAAATTTCCATAGCTAGTAGGGCGATTGTGCGTGACACAGAGGTCGATGGTGGTCGATGGCGGTAGAAGGTGACACGGAGACGGCGATCGCGCATGATCGAGGTTGAAGAGGCAGATGATGGTGAGGTTGGGGGTGGTGCTGGCGGATGGCCTGTTCTACATTGGTGACGAAGCTGGTGTTGTGGCCGACGGACAGCAACTTCTCGATGGAGGTCTCGTCGGAGGTCATGCCGGTCTAGAGGCTTTACAGAGACATTGTCACGCCCATGGTCATCGAGCACAACAGGTTCGGGGCTTTCATTTTCTTGGATAATCAATCGGCTCTTTTTTTGGTTATTTAGGTGTTAGATCTGAAATGGGTATAATGGATGATTTGGATGACTAAAACATTGGCGGACAAAAAAAATTGCTTTGCCGCTCACTAGTTAATTTTATTTTGGTAATCTTATCTATTTAAGGTAGATAAACACAGAAATTATTTTTACCGTATCTTCAGCAAATATCTCTCCACCCTTTCACTCATATAAGTAAGAGTTTAGCCTAACAATTATCCAGTCTTAAAGATAACCCGTCTTCTATTCGACATCAATCGGTTCTTCTGGAAGAAGACTCTCTAGTAATATCTTGGTTCTTTACATTATCCTTTACATCAATTAGTTTATATTTTCCATCAGTCAATCAATTATGCCTTACTTTTCATTCTGATGTTTGTTTTTCTTTCCCCATACATAGGGTTTCAATGGCTCCTGGATTAGTTAAGAATTCGAGAACAAAAATCATACCAAATTCTCGGCAGAGTCTCATTGATCACATGACGAAGACAGGAAGTGTAGCAAGGGGTAAGAACCGGCAATCCGAGAGGACCAATATGGGATCAGACAAAGCGAACAAAGGATTGCCAATAACCGATGGTTCGTCTATAGGAACAGAAATTACAAATCCCACGTCTGAGGGCAACTTGCCAAACGTTCAGTCTACTCAAACTCTGCAAAAGGAGATGACTTTTATGCCAAGTATTCAATCTTCTCAAACTCAGCAAAAGGAGATTACTCTTGAAGGTACGCAGCAAAATGAAAGCACTCTCGATCCTCCAGCACATCAGGAAAATCAAAACCCTGAATCACAAGAAGCTATCACTGGTACACAACTAATACTCTATTTTTTTTTTTTTGAGTTGCTTCATGACTGTGTGTTGTTGTGTTGTTTCATGAATTGTGTGTTGTTTTGTTGTTTCATGAATTGTGTGTTGTGTTGTTTCTTGAACTGTGTTCTTTCATGTAAGATGTGTCATATCGGCTGGAGATCATTTTTCATGACCTGTGTTGTTTCCTGTGCATTACATAAAACTCCATTCATTATATTTAATTTCCTTTATCTGATTAAATCTAGAATCTTAAGCACCTAAAATGGATTAAAATGGATTGTTCCTATTTTTAATTCAGTTCAGTATGCATATATGTGTTTTTATATATGTGTGAACTAACAAATTATTCAATATGTGAACACTATGTAAGCATTTTTCCCCAACTACTCACAAAGAAATTACTTTTTATTAACTATTGCTTCCTTATGCTTGACTATCTGATGGAGCAATATTTGTGATAGTATTGGTTTCTTTTTCTTCTAAAAACTTTGAATGAAATATTTGCAAAAAGACGATAATGTAATGTTCTTTGTTATAGACAAAGCTTCCGCCCCTAAGAGAAGACGTGGTCAAACAATGGGTAAGGGAATTATGAAAGCATTTGGTGCCACTGGAAAGAAAATGAAGATAGATGTGGATCCACTGATAGGACGGCCAAAAAGTCGAGAGCAATCTGCAAAGCTCTCAAGTCAAATTGGTGTTGTAGCTCGTGATGTGCTTCCAGTGCCAAAAAATGGAAAGAAATGGCTGACGACAAATTTTTGGAACCCG